TCCCACCCCCCAAAGCTATAGGAATTATTTGCTGCCAGTCTGATCAGACTGACAGCTCCATCATCTCTAAGGGGAATAATCAGGTCAACCAGACAGCTAGGACAACAGCCCTCCAGCCATCCCACCCACCACAGGGAATCCATAACAACCCACATCCTCACAGTCACCCCTGACACTTGGCAAATTCTGTCCTATGTACACCAGCTCTTTCATCCTAATTGTCAGGTTCTGTCTCATTTTGTCAAGGCCCACCTGCAGCCCACCCCTGAGGACTTGCATTTCTTAAGAACTATTACTGCCTCTTGTAAAATCTGTCAAAAGTTAGATCCCAGTTCCAAATATCAGAGCCAACCTTTTCTCACTCACCAGGCTAGGAGCTCCCTTTCAGGGACTGACTGGCAACTCAATTTTACCCATATGCCTACTGCCAGATGAGTTAAATACCTCCTTGTCCTAGCAGATTCATTCTTGAGCTGGGTGGAGGCTTTCCCATTTTTTTTTTGTTAATGGACTCAGACAGTCTCTGACCTCCTTCTCCAGGAGATTATGCCCCGATTTGGGATCTCTGCCTCTCTTCAGTCTGATAATGGCCCAGAGTTTACCTCCCAGATTTCTCAAACCCTATCTAAAGCTTTTAACATCCCTAAGCATTTCTATATCCCTTACAATCTTCAATCCTCAGGGAAGGTGGAATGGACTAATCACTCCTTTAAAAATATACTTATTAAGATGTCACAGGAACTTCACCTTTACTGGGTATAACTATTGCCTCTGGCTCTTTTCAGGGTCTGGGCTCTTTCCACACAACTGCTTTAAATTACGCTGTTTGAACTCATGTATGGGAGGCCAGTTCTAGCCTCTGGCCTTCTATTCAAACTTTTGCCACTCCCTGACCTCCCACTCACCCCCTTACTCTATCACCTCTATTCTCTCCTATGGAATTGTGCTGACCATTCCCTATCCAGGCCACGTGACAACCCCTGCCACCCCCAGTCAACAGCAGGGATCATGCCCTTCTTCCACCCAAGGCCAGCACCCCTCCCCACTTCCCCCAAATGGCAGGGACCCTTCAAGCTAATTCTTGTGACCTCCATAGCTGCTAAGCTCAAGAGCTTTCCTCACTGGATTCACCCATCTCACCTACCACCTTTTACCTCACCCCTACCCCAGGGTAATCCCTCCTCATGCACAGTGATGCAAACAGGGCCCTGCTCTCTTAAGTTCTAGAGGACACAGAGACCAACAGCCTGTTTCCAATTCCAGAAAAACAAGACTTCGTCCCACAACTGTACTCAACCCCACTGGATTGGGGACCCCATATGTTTTTCTTCTAGGTTCCCCCTCTGCATTCTCCTGTCCCTACTGATCACACTCTGCTCCATCAGTTCCCGCCCCCCCCCCACCGACTCTAATAACATATTCAATGTTCTAATGAACCACTCGGCTGACTCACAGGACCACCATCAGCCACAGAGCTGGAGGTGCGAGGACCATCAAATACACCCAGGTGGTAAGAAACAGTAACACCCCAGAATTATTCACACCCCCAGACTCAAAATGTTCTGGACTCTGCAAAACAGACTTTAACATATAAAAGTTTATTATTGTAAACTGCCCTCAGCAATCCATCACCTGTGTCTCCTGGATGCTGAAGTGATAGGGCGATAATGAAAGGAAACAGATGCCTTAAGGTTTGTCTCAGGTGAAGATAGGAAGCCTAATTGATAATAGAAAAAAAAGCAGTTCCAGATTCCTGTCTCTCTTTGCTACATGACTCCATAATTTCAACACTAACCAATAAAATTCTGATAGAAGAATACTCAGCACTACAATATCATAGCTACAAGTTCAGGATTTAAATTCTCTTTGGTCACTTCTTAATATGTCTAATTTGTCTCCTTTGTAAAGTTAAAAATTCTTCTGAGCTCCAGGGAGTTGACTTGGACCCACCCCGACAGGTCAGATCCACTTCAGATAAGTATCATTCAAACTTTCCTGGTCTTGCGTGCGACCCCCTCCCTCATCCTTAGGGTCGCCCCTCATCTCCTCTCCCACCAAGTACCAGGATCTAAGAAAAAATATTTTCTAAACTTCAACTTCTGCCTCACCAGCATCCTGTCAGGCCCAGGCTGTAAGATCCAAGCAACATTGGATGATTGCCAAGGGCTCAGAACAGCAGTGAAGACAATCAGCTACCTCAGGACAACCGGCTACCTTGGAAAAAGTCCCCTGCAGCTCTCAAAATTAACTGATGCCCTCCAAGTCAGCTGGAAGCAGTTCCAAGAGACACAATGCCCAGTTCTCATTCACCCCCCACCCCTAATCCCTTACTTTTATTAATAACAAAGAGGCTGGAATGTTATTATTCCTAGCCACTTCTGGAGTCACATGACCACACACGTGGTGTCAGCAGTCAGGCAAAATGCTTAGTCACTCCAGGGCCTTACATCCTATGTAATCTGTGCATAGCATGGTCAAGTAATCTGTGCAAAGTGTGGTCACGTAAGCCATGTGCATGTGTGGCACAGCTACATAAGCCCATATGTGCATCCATGAGGTGACCTATAGAAGCAGACTCCACCCTGCCCTCTCTGCACATTTCTCTCTGGGAGGTCTACTCATGTCTGTCCTTTCCTTCCCCTAATAGAATCTCTTATAGTGGGTTTTGTTGTACCTCATGTTCTCTTGTGCCCTGTAAATAACATCGGTAAATAAATAACACTGGGGACCCAACACCTCCCTGGGCTGTGGTTATCACTGTAGGGTAAAAAGGGCCAGTGAAAGAACACCCTGTCCCTGTTCAGGACTTGAAGTCCCACCAATCCTTGAACTCTGCTCAGAGTCTGACCAGGGTTTCCCTGGCAAAGTGTTAACAGCACTGGCTCTGGGAATGGTTTCCTTAATGCGAGTGTAAGAACTCTGCTCCAGCAGGGGAGGGGTTTACAGCTCTGCTCTGCTCCAGCAAAAGAGTCATTGCAACAGACCTCACCCAATAGATTTATTAGGAGGGAAAAATCCAGCAGAGTGTTTGCCTCTGCTAGGGAGAAAAGTTTCTTGTGGGCGGAGCTTTCCAGCTCTGGGAAACCACTGGCCATCCTGCCCCCACCAAGGACAGCCAAGCACACTTCCTCCTACAGTCAGAATACTTTAGACATGAAAGTTCCTCCAAATGGCTACCAGATGTGCATCTTTCCAGCTACTCAACTAGATAATACACACATATACACAGAGAGAAACACAGACACACAGACATACACACACAGACACTCAGACATATACACACAGAGACACAGACACAAACATACTACACAGACACAAGACGCACAAACACAGACACACACAGAGAGACACATAGACACACGCACAGCACATGGACATACACATACAAAACAGAAACACAGATACAAACACAGAAACACACAGGCACATACACAGAAAATCACACAGACATGTTGCAAGTCACAGGAAAATGTAATGGAATCCAGCTTCTATCACAAAAGCTATTACTTGGAAAGGTCAAGGACTTTTTCAAAGGTCATTCCATGGCTTAAGGAGTTTTGGTGATATTTTAGCTTTTGTATACATATTAGCCGATTCCTGCAATGACTTTCTCATATGCTGTGTATGCTTCCAAGAACTCCTAACAGTGTATTCACCTGATATTCTTCTCAAGCATCCTTGGCCATAACAGCAAACCAGGCGCAATGTAGCTGTGAGGCAGACTGCCTAGGTCTGGCAGTGACCAGTGTATGGCGGCATAGGAAAAGAGAGGCAGTTTTGTTTTAGTGATTTAGAGACTCTTTTACCTAACCACTTGTGGGATTGTAGTTTGAGCACATTTGTGATAGACTTATAACGTTTCACCTGACCACTTATAAGAATATATTTTGAGCACATAAATTCCCTTTCTGACTTACTCCAGGCCTTATCAACCCCACCTCCTCTATTCACATTCCCGTTGTGGATGAAGCTGGCTATCACGGCTCTGGTAGGAAGCTTGGAAGCTTTGCTTGGTATTGGAAGAGTCAGGCTGCCGGTGAGATGGAGATCAGTACCGGGAAATGGAGGGGAAGGAACTGAGATGGAAAAGAATGAGGATGAAGAAGAGGATGAAGGTAGAAAAGAGTTAAAGTTGTGAGAAGACAGGAGGAGAAGGGACAGAGAGGAGCTAAGTATAAGAACAGAAAAGAAGCTGTGTAGAGAGAAAACTGACTCAAAATAAATAAATAAATAAATAAATAAATAAATAAATAAATAAATAAATAAATCATATGAACTAAAGGGTCACATGTACATAGATTCATTTAATATCATCAAAGATTAGATTATCAGCTGGTCACAGATTCTTCCTGGACCCCGAAAGGGCTTTCAAGGGGCTGGAATCCCATAGTCCCTGTTACAGACACACGTACAAAGACACACATTCACACAGAACCACATGCACAGAAACACACAAACACACACACACATTACACAGACACACATAGGCATACATCCAGACATACACAGACACCACACAGACACACAGACACAGAAGCATATACACCATGCACACACACACAAGACATATACATAGACACACAAACATACACACAGACACGGACATACACATACAACACAGAAACACAGATACAAACATACAGAAACACACAGGCACACACTCATACAGAAACACATACATTATACAGACACATATAAGCACACACACACCATGCAGACACACAACACACATACTGAGACACACAGACACATATCACACAGACACACACACACACACACACCCAAACACAGAAACACAGGCCCATGCACAGACATCCTCACACACCACACAGACACACACAGAGAAACAAACACACACCACACAGACACAGACACACAGAGACACACACACTCACATACCAACAGACACATAGACACGTATTTACACACCCCTAGTTCCCTCATGCTGCCCCCCACAGCACAGGGACATAGCAAGGTCCCTCTCCCTGCCCAGCACTCACCTGCACAGGTGCCCAACAACTCCTCCAGGAGCAGGCACTTTAGTGACAGCTGGACTAGGACTAGGGCTCTGGGTTCCAAGGACAACATCGTCTTCATCTGCCTTCATGAATTATCTGAGTTCTCTGCAGATTCAAAGCCAGACATACTTCTCTTGTAGGTCCACCCAGTCCCGGATGCCAAGAACTAAAGTGCATCTCAGAGGACATGGGTGGAGTAGATCTGGTAGCAGGTGAACAGCTGGCTGGTGGGAGAACAGCTGGTATGGGGCTCAGTGGAAGGTGAGAGTCACTCATACAGTGAGAATGCTTGGGGTCAGGCAGCCCTGATTCAAATCTTCCTCTCCCTGGAAGCATTACAGCTTTCCTTTACAGCTATCCCCACTGCATCTCTGCAACAAGCAGGAAGGTTACTTCTTCTTGACTGTTTTTTTCCTGAGACAGGGTTTCTCTTTGTAGCTTTGGGGTCTGTCCTCAATCTCGCTCTGCAGACCAGGCTGGCCTCGAACTCACAGAGATCTGCTTGGCTCTGTCACCTGAATACAGGGACTAAAGGTGTGTGCCACCACCTCACGCTCTTCTTGATGTTTTAATCAGGAGTCTGGAATACATATAAACCCCTCTATTGGGGAAAATTATAAAGGCCACTCCACGTAGTTAAAAGGAAGATTTATTTAGTGGATGACTTACAAATGAAGGAATAGATAGGTTGCGGGAGTCTGGGGAAGGTGTATCGCAATCCAGCGGTGTTCTCTGGAGCTCTGCCCAGTCAACCTCCACCGTCCAGGGTCCAGGCACAGAGAGCGTGCACAGAGAGAGCGCTCGCCCATCCAGCTCTCGGGTTTCCAGCACCTCCCCTCGCCCCGCCTCGTAGGCATGACAGTTGCCAGAGTCTCAAGGGGGGTTGGAACTTCCAGATCCAAGCTGGAATGGCTACCCACTACACCCCTCATCAACCAGAAACCTTGTTTCATTATCCACTCCCCATATCAAGATTCCATAGACCACTCAAATGTAAATACATACACACTCAGGACTCAGGAAATTTATGCTTGGAATTCCCCTTCTGCAACCACAAAAACAAATAATGTAAGCTCCTTGGTAATGACTTGTTGAGAATTAATAAAGCCATGAAAGATGGAAAATTTGAACCTTAGGTACCTATTGTTTGACCTTTGGGGTTAGCTATGCTGCTGTCTGGATTGGGCTCAGCCCCTGAGCACCCACTGCTGCTGAGCAGATCCTGCCCAGCCTGGACTTGAGTACTTTTAAAGCAGAACAGTAAAATTAAAAAAAATATTTTACACACACACACACACACACACACACACACACACACACACACACACATACACACACACAGAAGAGACACTAGACAGTTCATATAATTTCTCACTAGTTTAGAAACTCAGAGAGTAAGGGTGGTGCTGCATACTTTTAATCCCAGAATTTTTCAAATAAATGAATTTATTTATTATGTATTTATGTGTCATTTGTTTTACTTCCCTGGCACACCCATCTCCTAGGGAAACAGAGAAAGTTTTGAAGTCAACACAGCTGCTTGACAAAACTCCAGCAAAGCTAAGCCACATGCTATGATTGGTAGTTGACCTGAGGCCCTTTACTTTGATTGGAATCTCTGTGTGTTACACTCTTGGTAGGCTATTACTGTAATGATTCAAGCATGTTGTTTCTGTATCTCCCTGAAGAAGTCCTGAATGTCCTACCCCCTGCTTTTAGGGAAGTAACCTTAGTTGATCACACTTGGGAGTCTTCTCTGTGCCTTGGAGATTCGTATCTGCTCCTGCACATACTCAAGAACAAAATATGTAGCTAGAGTTTTCCTGCCTTGCCCACAGTCAGAACAAATTTCTGTCACCTGCCAGTCCCACAGCCGCTCAGACCCAATCAAGTAAACACAGAGACTTATATTGCTTACAAACTGTATGGCCGTGGCAGGCTTCTTGCTAACTGTTCTTATAGCTTAAATTAATCCATTTCCATAAATCTATACCTTGCCATGTTTCTCATGGCTTACCGGCATCTTCACACATTGCTTGTCATGGCGGCGGCTGGCAGTGACCTTCTGCCTTCCTGTTCTTTCTTTTCTCCTCTCTGTTAGTCCCACCTACACTTCCTGCCTAGCCACTGGCCAATCAGTGTTTTATCTATTGACCAATCAGAGTAATTTGACATACAGACCATCCCACAGCAAAAATAGAATCTTATAAATTCAGAGGAGTCTGACAAAGTTCCATAGGATAGGAGAATAGATAGGCGTGCTGGGTCCTGTAATTAGGGTGTAGCAAAATGGAGAACAGCACACCTTTCTGATTTAAAGAAATATGCCAGTATGGGTGGATATTCAGCATGTAACTGGCCTCATCTAATAAGCCTCAAGTACAGAACAGGTACTGCCCAGGAATTTAGCCTCCTTCCCAACCTGTAGTGAAAGAATCCTCTGTGCCATGCTGTAGAACACATGTGCT